TCTACTTATGAAAGGTTATTGCACCCTTTCATTTTTTTAGTCTAACCCATATATAACCAAATCATATATAACTACCCTATTTTATAGTAACCAAATGAGATTCCATTATTTTCCATATTTTATCTATTACGAAAATTGATATATTATAACTTCCTTTTTCATCTTTAATATTTTTGACTCATAACTGTTAGTCTTATCTTTAATAACTACAATCTACGGTTACACTATAATATGACTATGACATGTTCGACAACAATATATTTAACAACTACAAATAATTAATTACATTCTTCATGACATATAACACTTACTATTAATATTTTATTTACTATAGTAGAATAATATCTGTCAGATGCAACAGACATATGCCACACTCAGATTTATATCAAATTTAGTGGAAGACCAATTTAATAGATTATTTAGTATATTAGAACAATATCTCTCATGCATTATATAGTTCCAAATATTTATAAAATTAAAATTAATAAATCAAACAATCTGTTAAAAATTATCTGTTATTTTTTTTTTAAAAATATCTATAATAAAATTTGTTATATAAGATAAGTTTAAAACTATTAAAAAACTTACATATTTACACTATTAAATTAGCCAGAAATATATCAAGTAAATCTTAAGATAACGAAAGATAAAATGCACACTATTAAATTAGCCAGAATTATATTTGTTGATATATATCAAGTAAACTTACATAATTTTTTTTTATAAAATGCACACAAAAGATAATGAAAGTGAGTAGGTCTGAGTATCAGATTTTCGGGTAGGTACAGATCAGTTCTTTTCAAGTTCAAAAAATTTGAACATAACTAGGTATTTGAAGTTTTTTGGTTCAAGTTCGAGTTGGTTCCCTTTAAATTCGGATCGGTTCGAATTCATAATTAAATATCTATAAAATCTCTGTAATAGTTGGGTACGTAACGGGTCCGGATTGGTTTGATTATTTAGGATCCAAAAGGATTTGATATACCTAAAACCCCCAAAAATATTGAAACATGAAAAATACCCAAAATCCAAACAATACCCAAAATATTGAAATTCCCAAAAAGACCCAACTTGAACCGATTCTTTTGACTCGAGAAATTATAAAAAGGTCCATTTTTTGAATACCCAAATTTTTTTTAAAAAAAATATTGAAACTTAACTCGAAATCTAAAAATTAAATCGAAAACCTGAACCCAAAACTTAAAAAGTATTTGTAATACCAAAAACATATCTAAAATACTCAAATATATATACATAAAACATTTCAGGTACTTAGGTACCCGATCAGATCTCAGGTATGATCTTGACTCGAAAAGAGACCTGTAAATCCAAAAAGTTGAATATGTAAACCTGATGATGTTGATGTTGTACCCACGAAGTATGGAAAGTGCCAAACATTAGGAACAACCCGGAGAGGAGTTAGGAACAAGAACACGAAGAAGTGAGAACCACTTAAATAGAGGAATCGTCAAAATACTAATTCACAAATTTTGTATATAATCCAAATAAAAACCCGCGCTTTTATAGCGCGGGTCAAAATCTAGTTAGTTTATTAAAAGCCAATCTCTTGTCTAATTAGACTAAGCTATTAACTGGGTACGGATATCCACCAGGATAAGTTAAATATTTAACATGTTGGACCACAGTAAATGATATTTCCTAGAAATTTCCAAATTGGGTGAGTATTTTATTAAGACCACGACGAGTCTCTCATAGACTTTTTCATCTGAAAGCAAATTACTTGTATAGTTGCTACATAAAAAGAACCAAATGCGTGTATTAAATTCTAAACAGTTTTACAAAATTAAACCAAACTATAAGACCGTATTATATATGATTGACAAAAACATAATCTGTTAAACCAATTGGATCCAGTATAGTAATATATATTACAAAAGTCAATTGAAACGCTCCACTTGTAAAGTGGACATCAGATTTAACAAGTCTTCGAAAGCCTAGTTGACGAAGGCTTGTATTTTAATTCTGAAACCGAAGTCAAGCTACACAAATTATTTTTAGTTAAGCGGATACAAACTTCGTTCAACCAAAAAGCATAGAGACAAATAAATTTCCGACAAAAGAAGTAAAGAAATCTATGAATTACTACAAAACACCACCGATGTCGTTTGTACAGAGTCATTACAACAAATGACGTCTGAAAGCAAAAGAGGATTTTCTATTGGAGACGAAGACTTCAAAAGTCAAGCTCACAAATTTTTCTAACGCAAGATTCATATATGATACTAAGAGCATCGGCATTAATGAACCCCCACTTGGGGTTCATCAGCTGAGTTTTTTATTATTTTTTTTTTGTTTTTCGTTTTAATTTTTTTTCTAAAAAAAAAAAAAAAATTAAATTGACCAATCGTGGGCCACCACGTGGCGTGGGTCCCACGAAACAGTGATGAATCTGGGTACAGACGGTTCACCCCAGAGAGTCTTCACGCTTGGGTTCACAGAATGTCACATTATTTTATTATTTTTGTTTTCTTGGGAATGGGGTGAACCTGGGTATAAACCCTTGATGCAGGTGTCCTAACACAGTTAAAAACTTTAAGACAAAAGCAGAATGAGACTAGCTTGGAAATTACACTCATGTCGGACGTACAAAACTATTACCCAATGAAAACTGTCCACGTCGATGGCTAAATTCGTTTACCTATTGACCAATTGCTAAAGTATAGTCAACTATAAACAATCATAAAGTAAAGACAAGCAGTTCTCTTTTAAAAATATTCCCCAAAGACCCTATGTTGCAACTTGCAGTGAACTCTCTCCTCATATTTCCGATGGGTAATTTTGGTAATTAATTTTCCCCGTACATCTCTGCCTTTATATCCACAGTTCAAGAAAGACCACAAGCAAGAAGACTCAAAGAACAAAGAGAGAAACAGTCCACAAGTGAGAGAGAGAGATAAGATCAATGACGTCAGAAGTTCTTGACAGTATCAATAATGCTACAATCGCCAGATCATGGAAGGCATCGAACGCAGATTACGGCACCGACCACTTCCACGAAAAAGAAGAAGGCGATACGGTCATTTTCGCTTTCAGACAATCTTTCTTGGTGAGTGACTGGTTTGCTCCTGAAAATGATTCTTCTTTTGGAGAAACTGAGATGAAGCCTGATCAGTTCCCTTGTATGAGAAGCTTCAGCAACGACGTTGCAGCTACCGTTAACGAAGCTTTCCTTAAGAATCTTCAGCTTCTCCTTTCAACTCCATTTCGCCGTTCTGTAAGTGTAACTCTTTTGACCTTTTTAGGGGGTGTCAGTGGAAATTGATTTTTTAGTGATTATTAGAATTTTCAAATCTAGAATTATTGGTTTATAAATTCTCACATCCTCGTTAAAATTTTGTGGTTACTGGTATGATGATTTTACACTTTTGTACATTATTTATTATTTAAAAAAAAATACATTTTAATGATTTTACAAACCTATTAAAATAAATGTTATTGGAGATTGTATTCTAACTTTTTAAGACTTTAGTTGAAAACATATGACCAATGCTGGATTTGATATTTTATGGGCTATAAACATTTCTAATTTTAATAAATATTTTTTTTTTCTTAATTTATGGATCTATACCTACATATACAACCTCTAAAATTTTTTGAGACCAAAACACCTTTTATATGACTCACTTATGTTTGAATCTTGCAGGTTCAAAGGGTTGTCGACAGAAAGAAAAGTCAAATAGTGTTCACAGGACATTCCTCAGGAGGAGCAACCGCAATCTTGGCAACAGTTTGGTACTTGGAGGAATACTTCACAAAGCAGAGTGATGATTTCTTCCCAGAGCCTCTTTGTTTAACCTTTGGAGCTCCTTTGGTTGGTGACTATGTCTTCAAACACGCTCTTGGGAGAGAGAACTGGAGCCGCTTCTTCTTTAACTTCGTCACAAGATTCGATATCGTCCCTCGGATAATGCTTGCTCCAAAGGAATCAACAAAGCAAGCTCTGCCTCATGCTCTTTCCAAGTTAGATCCTAGAGTTGCTCCGATCCAAGAAAACGACCAGATCATTGCGGGTTTCTACGCAACGGTGATGAAAGAGGTCGAAACTGCTGTTCGCCAAGCCGGCTGTGAATTGACTAAAGATGGAGAAAATGCGTTTTTGGATACATTTTCCAGTTTTCTTGAGCTGAGTCCTTATAGACCAGCAGGCAATTTCGTCTTCTCTACAGAGACGAGGCTGGTCCTAGTGAGCAACTCAGACGCAGTTCTTCAGCTTCTGTTTTACTCTTCACAGGCAAGCAACGAGCAAGACTTGTCTCAAAGACCATATCAAAGCATAACAGATCACCGTAGCTATCAAAGAATGGTAGATTCAGTGAATCAGTTGCCTTTTGTTGAAGGAGAATCTGAGCTCAGTGACCTTGTACTGGTAAAATCTTTCTCTCTTTGCTCAAGATCTTGATCCTTGTAAGTACTATTAAATGTTTCTTTATCTTTTGTAGACCAAAAGCGCCAGAGACCGCGTCCATGCTGCATTTGAGGCAGAGAAGAAACGAGATGATAATCAGAAGAAGATAGACACCCTCACCACCAACGGTAAGACTAAAATAGTAGAGAGGGTGGAAGCGATAGAGAATTACAAGGGAATGTGTGAAGCGCCTCATGCAAAAGGGTACTATGATTCCTTCAGGGAATCTGATAATCCCAGCGACTTCGACGCAAACGTCAAGAGAGCTGAGTTAGCTGGTTTATTTGACGATGCGTTTGGTTTACTAAAGAAAGGTCAACTTCCAGATGGATTCGAGGGGAGGAGTGAATGGATAGAGCTAGCAACTCGCTACCGCAAATTAGTTGAACCACTTGATATTGCAAACTACTACAGACATTTGAAGAACCAAGACACGGGGCCTTACATGACCGAAGGAATAAGACCAAAACGTTACAAACACGCTCAGAGATTGTACGAGCATAAACTACTCAAGGAAGGAAGGAGTGCAGAAGAGATAAAGAGATCTGGCTTTGGATCTTGCTTTTGGGCTGAGGTTGAAGAACTAAGGGTAGAAGCATATGATAAAGAAAGGGTTACGAAACTAGAAAAGTCGCTTCAAGGATGGATCAGTGACGAGGAAGTAGATGATAAGCATATTTTTCTGGAGGGCTCAACGTTTAGAAAGTGGTGGGATTTGCTTCCTGAGGTTCACAAAGTCGATTCTCTGCTGGGAGTGTATATGGCTTGAACCAGAAAAAGGTGGATTGTTTTAAGCTATTTTGGAACTTCCTTTGTGCAATAAAGAGATGTTATAGCTCTCTATTATAATGTTTTTTTTTTCAATTTGATTTCTACTTCAGGATGATCTTGTAATAAGAAAAAACATGCTCTACCATCATGAATCTATATAATAATAGTTCACTTCTAAGGCTCCTAAAGCTATCCACATCAGCAAGTTTGTGGACCCCGTATGTTTAAATTTTAAAAGTTTATAGCGTTTTTAAAATGATTATGAACAATGAATACACTTTAGCAAAGTGGTATAAGACATCTAATTAAGTCTGCAAGTAGGTGGGTTCTAACCACGCAGCTGTTATCTATTTTAGTTTTTCATTTGGATTATTATCATATGGGCTTTTTAGTTTTAATGTTTTTATGTTTTTTTCCTCTGGACTTATTGTTTAAAACCCAAAATAGTGGAACAATCCTAAAGTTTGACGAACTCAAACCCAAAAACAATTAAAAATGGATCAAAAAACGAACATAAAAAAAAAAGAAAAAAAAACGAGTCTCACGCGGCACTATCATGTCCTAATATATATTTTTACTGTTAGAACATATTTCCTAATATATATTTTCAAAAAATTATGTATGTGAAATAAAATAAAAAAATAGTTTTGTTATTTATAAAATAACTATGTAATTTTTCTTCAATTTTTAATAGTTACTATAATATCATTTTTATCAGACTCCGGCGAATGGATTTCCACAGTCGATGACACTGTAAAAAAAAAACCACATTATTCATGAACAAAATCCAAAATTACAAAAAAACATATCCAAACCTATATATTGAAACCCAAACAACAAATATTAGATTAAATTAAAGTTATTTTCAAATTGATAAACAAATATAAATACTATAAATAAATATTTATATCAAGTTTTGACATCCGATATAAAAACTATTTTCAACATAAAAACAAACAATATAGACATCTATTTTTATACACTAAAAACTATATTATAATTTAGTTATTCCTATAAACCTTATTTCGCATATAAATAACATTTAACACATTATATATACAATATTTTCACTTTGCACTCTTGCTACCTTCTTTCCATTTCATCATTATTTGGTATTATTAGAATAACTCACTAAACCAACNAATATAGACATCTATTTTTATACACTAAAAACTATATTATAATTTAGTTATTCCTATAAACCTTATTTCGCATATAAATAACATTTAACACATTATATATACAATATTTTCACTTTGCACTCTTGCTACCTTCTTTCCATTTCATCATTATTTGGTATTATTAGAATAACTCACTAAACCAACAACCGAAAAAAATAGAGATCCCGGCTCCGCGCTTGCGCGGGGGTTATGCAGCTAGTATATGTAATAGTTCTCTATTTCAATGTCAAATTTGGTTTCCACTTAACAGTTATCTTGTAATAAGATAACTTCATCTATATTATTAAAATAGAAGTAACCATATAAAATATCCCTTAGTTTTCACTTTTATTTACAATAGCATGCCATTGAAGTTATTAATTACCCTACCTTATAGGATTCTTTGTCTTTTCACTTTAATTAATGCATTTCAAAAAGCAAATTTTAACTAAAAAAAATTATGGCAACAATAATTATTTTCATATATACCTTTCGTAATTAAATAAATAAATTCTATATAAATTGTTTTACTAATTCCATATACATAATAATTAATTCCAATATTAATTAACCTACCTTTTAGGATTTTTTTTTCTTATTAATTATCTACATATCTTTGAATAGTTAATGAACAATATTGTTTTCAAAGATATATACTTATATTTTTATTATTTATAAGTAATAACTAAAATAAAAGTCACAAAAAGAAACATTTATATAATATATAATACATAGATTAATATAAACAATTTTGTTATGTATATTTTTATATAAATAATAGTTCAAGGTAAATTCAAAATAATAAAAGTTAAAAAAATAGAAATATATTGGACCATATATTTTAAATAGTAGATACAACAATTTAGTTATACATTATCATAATATTTTGATCCATAAAAATAAAATAAAAACATTTTTGCAGATATACGGGTCATATTTTCAAAATAAGTATGACACAATGATAGTTTATAAGATAAAATAAAATTACTCAATATAAACTATAAAATTGTGTGTTTAAAATGTCGTTTTAAACAATTATTTAAACGGGTAAATTTAGAAATATATATTATCACTTATAAAATATATAAAAACAAACACTTGCACGGATCAAACAACATTTTTTTTTGGTATTCTTCTGTCAAAATTAACTCATAAGTAATTTGTAACCATTTAATTGATACTTCATTTTTTATTTTAAAAATTTCAACCCAAATGATTTATATATTAAAATTTTTATATAGTTTGAACATCAGGCTTTTTCTTAGAAATGTTATAACTAATTTATCATTTTTTTGTATACCATATTAACTCTTACTTCTCAAGATTTGATGTATCTTTAACTGAAAAATATTTCCAATATATCGTCTACATGTTAGATTTGTTTGTATGCTACCCAATATTTTTGATACAATAAATTGTTAACACACACAAAAAAACTTAATGTAATACAATTAATTTTTACAAAAATTTCATCTAATATAAAAATTAAAAAAATAAAATTAATACTCGTGCGGTCGCACGGGTCAAGGTCTAGTTATTATTAAGAGGTCTGTCTCTAGGCATGTGCTCAAGGCACATTTGCACAGGGCCCAAAAATATTTTGTAAATTTTAACTAAGGTTTAGGGCCCTCTGCAGATAAATTTTAGGATCCATTTTCTACAAATTACATGTAATTTTTTTATGAATTGCACAAGGCCCCATAAATGTTTGTGACGGTCCTGATTATTAACAGAGTGATACAGTAGAACCTCTATAAATTAATACTCGATAAATTAATAATCTCTATAAATTAATAAATTTCACCGATCCCAACTAGGGCCGGTGTAAAATATGACAGAAATCGATAAAATAATAAGATAATAATATTTTTAAAACTGTCATGTAAATATATGGTCCCACTAAAATCATAAATTAATAATCTAGCTATATATAATTTTATATAAGTACAATCTAACATTATATTGTTGGTTTATACTATAAAAATAATTTTATTTTTTAAAACCTTTCAATATATTTTGATAATATTTAGTTAGGGGTTTTATATTTACTATAAAATACTTTTATTTTTTAAACATTTCAATATAATTTGATAATATTTAGTTAAATTATATCGAAAACCATGAACAGTTCTATGAAACATAAAAATATACACCAATTAAGATAATAAAACAATATAAAAGTCAAATTTCTAAAATTTAAATAATGTACATATGCTAAAATCAAATATTTTTTATTTTATAAATAAAATGGAATTTTTTTTTAAAAAAAATCTAAATAAGGAAACTTTCGTAAATTAATATCTTTATAAATTAATAAAAATTCAAAGTCCCAAGATTATTAATTTATAGAGGTTCTACTGTATATACAGTGAAAGAGAACCACTATGTACATCTCAAAGGAGCTGGCGGTTACTAAGAACAACATTTCGCTGTGCAAACGCTCCACGTTCTAGCTACTACAATAACTTACGAAGAAATGTTTAAACGCACCTAGGGATGTTAAATGCAGGGTCAGGGCTCAACTCTCCTTAAGTCTATACTATTACTAGGGTTGCACGGCGCGGATATGTGTATATTTAATTTAAAAATTATTTTTATTTGGAAGAATTTGATTATATATATTGTTTGGATTTTTATGTTAGTGATTGTTTTCTTAAATATTTTATTACGTTTTTGATAAAATTATTTGATGTCAAAATATTCAACTTCAAATCGGATGTCTTCTTCTTTAATTTGGTAATACATATATATATACATATTATTTATATGTTTTGTATTCTTATATATTGTTGTTTTACTACAACACGTTTTTCATCTGCATTTCGCAAATATAAATATATATATATATATATATATATTTTTATTTGTATATCAGTTGGAAAATAATACTTATTTTGGAATTCATGACATATTTGAAATTATTTCCATATAATATCTTAATCTGTTATTATATATATCTTGAAAAATAATTTACATGTATGCTCTTATGTTCAATTTATTATTAGTTATTATCTTGATATATTCTGTTTCTCAATTGCTTTTAAAATATTTTTAAAAATTATGTGTTACTTTTTTGTTGTGTAATCTTTGACATGTTGTTTGTTTCTTGTAACTTTAGTCTAATGATCATAATATGCTAACACTGATTAGATTCATTTTTTTCTTTTTTGAATTTTTGTTGACTTCGTTGTAGTGAGACTTGTAAGAAAGATTGTTAATGGATTCTCCTAATTTATATTCTTATGAATTTTCTTTTATATTTTCACATTAAGTATTCTTTCTATTATATGTTTTTGTTATATTATGTAGTACCCAAAATTATAGATGGTTATTTTTTTATATTTTTATTTTTCTTTTATATTTTTAAAGGAATTTATGTTTTGATTGTTTATTAAGTATTTTTTGTTTATTGTTAGCGGTTCTCAATTTTTGTATATGTATCATTTCCTCATAAAAACTCAAACGTTAATGTAAATTTGATGTCTAGAATGTTTTGGTGTAAGTTAAATAACACAATCGAATGGTAAATAAACTATATTGTCATATCTTCTACGCCCCTGAGAAGATGTTGCCGTTTGTATTTTAAGTTGTATCTTTTTGTTTTGGACAAAATATTTTAAGCTGTATCTTTTTGTATACTTTTGTTATCTTATTGATATTGTGGCATCCCTCTCGGTACTTTTTGAATTACACAAACTCCAAGTGTCAGCGGTTTGGAAGAGAAGGTCATCTGTTTCTCAGAATCATGTACGACCCAGACAAACTTTAACTCATGGGTTTTAAAAACTATGATTACCCACACCAATTGGCTGACAGAATCTCGTAACCAAGTGTTTCGGTTTGGAATGGTATGTTTAATTTGTCAATTAGGAGGTTTTATTGTTGTTCAAGAGGATAAGAGACATGGACGTGATGCCAATTGTTTTACTCTCCAAGTGATCTTAAAAACTTGTGTGATGGTTAACGATCATCACCATCATGCTATTTCCTATGAAGTAGTGTATGTTGGAAGCATTGTTTAGTT